AAAAAACTAAATTAGAAATCTGACTTCCTGACATGAAACACATTAAGGGTTTAAAAAGGCCTATAAATCCATGGATTTTAATAATCTCAATTTTATCTTTTTTCTTAGCTGGCTGTTTTAAATTAGATGATTGCATAGTCCTCATTTTCTTATTCTGTTGAATCAACTCCCTGGCCTTCCGTGAGTCACAAAACAAGTCGATCCCCTTTCTTCCACGGATTTAACCATGTGCTAAACCCGATGCCTGCCTTTTAGCAAACGAGCGATCTTGCTGATGCCACGCTGAGACTTTCTGTGCACACGGTAGGGTTTGCTGAGCAGGTCTGCTTGGTACTGCACACCCACACGTGTTCTTCTGTGCTGTGTTGCCCGTTAGACAACCGAAGAAACCACGAGCGTCTCGTACAGTGATCCCCTCTTCCCCCCTTAGAGGCTTAGAAGTTAACTGGAATAAGTCTTTTGTGCCGTACAGAGATTACACCCGGGGCGTGAGATTCTTCTGGCTATCTTTTATATTCACGCAGAAATTGGACCTTTTTTTCCCTAGTTAGCTGAAAAACTCCCGTTCTGTGGTGAGGGTTTCTGATGTCCGTGGATGTGTGTGTTCTCCGCTTCCTTTTGCCAGAACTCCCAGCGTCTTAACTGCTTTTTGTGGTGGGAGGCGGTTTTGGTGAGTGAAGCTTTAAAGGTAGTTCTTTAACCTTCCTTTTAGCACAGGCTTTAAATCACATCGCTAGGTTTATAGGTTAGCTTATGGCCGCGTTGTCACTCTGTTCCTTATATTCAGTGAGTGTTAGCTAATATAGCCAGCGCTCTGTAGTCTGTCAGTTAATCGCTACCCGGTGAGCTCTTGCTGGGACAAAGGACTCAGGCTAATTGTCAGTTTGTTATAATGATGATGTTGAGTCTCTACCCGTCAGCCAAAAAATGATTTAATTTTTCTAGCAATGGGGGTTTATTTTTGTAGGTTGGGATTTGGGCTTTTTGGGTATTTTTCTAAGGTTAATTCATCTTTCTGCCTTTGTACTGCAGCTACTAGTAGTTTTTTTTTCTCTGGCGAATGCCAGATTTGCACCCAGCCTTGTTAGTATAATAAACATAACTACTCACAATAATGGAACATGTTAATTCAAGTGTTCATGTGGGCAGGTTTTGCCTTGTTTTAAGGGAGTGATTGACAGCAGCTAGCAAGAGGGGAGCCTAGCTTTGCTTCTCGTCTTACTGCTAATGCTCACGTGTCAGACTCGGGGACCATGTCCCGATGGGAAGATGTGAGTAACAGTGAAGTGTCTGTCATCTCCCTGGGCAGGAAAACACGTACATCGAGAGTGAATCTGAAAGCCATGGCAACTCTTGTCTGGTTTTTGTTCTCTTGACATAGGTTCTCTTGATACTAACCTTAAAGCTCGCTCGTCCTGTTTCCATAGAAATGCGTGTTTGTGCAGCAGCCCCAGCTGGCTCTTGTCTTCCCGTGTGTGCCTGCCGAAACGCCGGAATGGTCAGCTGTGTGGTGAGATAAAAGAAATGGACTTAATACAGTAAAAAAGATTTGAAAACAGCATTAAAAAGCAAACTAGTTCTGGATTCAGTAGAATGGAGATAAAGGCAAATTTTCTGATCTTTAAAAAACACTGAAGAGGAGCTAGAAATTAGTCTGTCAGTGAAATGAGCTTCTGAGTACGGAGAGGGAATCTGATAAAAGTGTCAGGACTTTTAACGCTGGAAATAGAAATGATCAAGAGCCACTTCTCCGACGATATCATACTGGTGTAGAGAAACACAGGGAAGTCCCTTTCCACATAGCACTCCACACTCTGCCATTGGGAAAATTAACGGGAGAAATGCACTTCAGGGCAAACCAGAAAGGGTGTGTGATTAACTGAATTACAGATGAATGTGTGCATTTATGCTTCATTATTTTTAAGCAAAGTGTGTTCTGTAACTGTGTTCTTCCTCCCCAGCCCTTTACATGTTGTCTGTGTTTTGGTAGCTTTCAAGGAATAGAAGCAGCTGTATATTGAGTCCTGACCCGGTATCTGGCTGTTGCAATGTGTGTCCTAAATAACCCGACTCATCTAGATTCTGTCTAGATATTACATCTAATGCCTGGTAATACATGTAAGGAACCATTTCAGTAAGCATAAAAGGACGTTTGAGTGCCAGGAGCTTCAAATGATGCAGCTTTAATCAATAGTGTTTATGTACTTAATTGTAGAGAGAGAACTTCCATCAAACTCGCAGTCTTTTCCTCTCTTTCCTTATTCAGCCCGCCTTCTCCTGTTCTACCCCACTTGTTCAGAGCAGTTCTTCCTCCCTCATAACTGGCACTGTACTTCCTCTCTTCACCAGTTTTTTTGTGTGCCAGTTTCATATTTGCTCTGAGCAAAGTGCCAGATGTGTTGGCAGGCCGGTAGGAATTATTTTTGTGTATGATAAGGAGTAGTTTAGCTTGCGTGCCCTCGAGTAGTTGCAGTGAGACGTAGAGTCACGTTTGAGTCATGCAAGTTCCACTTCATGCAAAATGATTATAAAGCAAATTCTGTGCAAGCTTTTAAAGCAGGAGGGAAATGCAAGAGAGAATTTGATGTGGGGCATGTGTTTGTAGGTCAGAATAACAAGATAGTGTCTTTTTTTCCAGGCTGTTAGCAATAAAAGAGCAGTTGAACATGGTAAAAACAGTATGTTCTAGACTCTGTGCCAGTAAGAAAAAAAGGATGTTATTTGCAAATTGGAAAAAAAAAAACCCAAAACCAAACTTTGGTTCCTCTAGGTTGATAGCATTTGTAAAACGGGACTGCAGGTGAAAGGTGTTCCATAAGTAGTAGTAACTAATAGTAATTCTGTGAACTGAGAAGGCAGTAAGATTTTGATAGGATATAGAACAATCTACTCAGGCTTCCTAGAATTTCTTTGAATAACTTACACATTTATTCAGAGATGTTTTTGCTTTGCCAGCTCTGCCCAAGTTTTTATAAACCAGTCAATTTATCTTTGGGAACGGACTGTTGTTTTCTCTGATAATGTTAACCAGACTTGTGGTGAGGCCAGACACAGTGGCATTCAAAACAAGCCATAATTAGTCTGAACCACCTTATTTTTCAGATGGCACCTGCACTGTAAGCAGAAAAGAACTAGTGTGCCCTATTACATAGCTCGTGGTAAGAAGTAAGGTTCAACTTAAATATACATTAAAAAAAATTGTGAGTGTATAAAAGCGTGTTCAGAATGGAGCATGAAGTTCTGACTTCAGCAAAAGAAAGTTTGAGGGCCTACCTGCTACGTACGTCAGCAATGAATATTAATCCTTATAAATTATTGTAGTTGATAATCTGATCTCTGAATGATATAACAGTATGGCATAATCTAACGTTTGCTTCATACTCTCATTTTTCAATGCAATAAACTTCCATCTGACACGTCGTATGACTCAGCCCAAAGGTCTTGTTCGAAAAGTGTGTTTTAGTGTTTGAGTTGCTTTTATGTTACATTTTATTGCATACTTTTGACCTGTAGTCTAGTAAAACACAGGCTGCTTAACCTGTGCCAGTGGTTGGAAATAAAGATGCTGCTTGCTCAGGGGTCCTGTTCAATGTGAAAAGGAGAGGCTCATCTGTCTGAACTTGGTCACCCGAGTTGTGGCAAGAAGGGTTATGGAAAACAGGAAATTCTGACTTTGAAACTCTACTTAAAGGCATTTCATGAAAGATAAATCATGTGATTGCATGACTTGATTCACATTTTTGCCATTCTCAAGGTGCGTGAAACAACAATGAAACACTCTAAAGCTCTGGTACAGAAGAGCTGAGCGACTCCTAAGTCGGGAAGCTTTGGTTTACTCCGCAGCGTTGAGCAAACATAGAAATCAAATCCAAATGGTTTGTGTCAGTGAACATTGAAATAGTCCTGGAACGTTGTTCTCTCCAGTTCCTGTTAGCATCGGTTAAGATTTGTACTGGAAGTCTTGTTTTTATCTGGAATAACAGTGTCCTCCTACGTCCTGTGTTGCATCCTCCACTTTAGTAGGGATTGGTCATCCTTATGAGCTCTCTTCTAGTTTCTGCTTTGTCTTCAATCCACTAACTTTTGGCATTGTCTGCAAAGATTAATTTCCAGTGAGGGTTTAGTATTCCTCTTAAAATGAACACTTTTTCCCACCAAACTGAGAGGTTGGAACAGAAATCAAAAAACTTCTTTATATATACAATGTGTGTATAGGCAAGAGAAGTTAGGGATAGCTCTGCTGCTAATGACCTTGTACCTGAATAGAAGGGAAGATGCACTTGGCAGATGATTAGCAACTGATTCGTTATCTTTATGCTGGGCCTGTTCCTTGTAAACTGTGGGTTTAGGAAATAATGTAGAGTCCTGGCAAGTGAATTTGAGGAAAGACCGAAATTTTGTTTGGGATCTCTGGCTACATTTTGAATGATTGTCATTGTTTGAAATACTCTTTTAAGTGACTAAATAAGTTACTGCTCGCTACTGATTATAATTTCTGAAATTTATAATCTTGGTTCGACTCATTTTAATCTGATGCTTTTGGGGAAAAACTTGGTTCAAATCTGTTAGTTTCTTGAAATTATCTGTACTTTGAGAACGTTATGGGGTTGCAGTAATCTTCATTTTTAGGGGATGACCAACTTGATGAATGAGAACAATGTGTATGTAGTGTGCTTTTTCAGCTGTTGACCTCCAACATGGGATGCTTCAAAAAGATATCTGAGAGCAACTCAGACATTTGGACTAATTGCATCAGTTCCTTGTGTAGGCCAGAACATTAGTGGCTTTGGGCCACCATTGGTGTGGATTTGAGAATAACTTTTTATCTGTAGCAAATCTTGAGACCATTAGTCATGCTGAATTTTAAAGAAGGTTATGGGGACTACAAAGAAAACTGGAAGAGCTCATGGTAACTTAGGAAATGTTGACTGTAACTTGAACCTGAGTGTTTCATTCTGTGCCACAATTACAATTTCCACAATCTCATTTATGTTTTTTAGAGGATTACCCCAATGGGACATGGCTCGGAGATGAAAATAACCCTGAGATGCGGGTCCGTTGCCCCATCACCCCTGCTGATATGCTGCACATCAGCACAAACTGCCGCACAGCTGAGAAGATGGCACTGACGCTGCTTGACTATCTCTTCCATCGGGAAATCCAAGCCATCTCCAACCTTTCAGGCCAAGGGAAGCATGGGAAGAAGCAACTTGATCCTCTCATGATTTATGGAATTCGCTGTGAGTATGATACTGTAACTTTTGAACTTACACTGTGCAGATAAGGCAGAAATTGTCTGCTGCTTGCAGTTAAACTACGATTTGTAAGAATGCGGTATGTGTCGTTGTTGCCAGACGGATGTTTTGTTAGCTTTTGTTTATGAAGGAATCCTAATGGGCTGGTTTAATTTAGTTTGTTGTGGGTGTTCCACCGGAAATTCCTTTATCTTGAAATCTGAATTCGGATTTCTTTGCAACCACCACCTGTGAGCGCACCAAGTGTAGTAAATCACAGAGAAATATTACTTAGATGATTGAACAAGTGATAAACCCAATTACACATTTAAATATTGTTGAACGGTTCAAAATGGTACGTTCTTCAATTTTAGTTTTTTACTTCCCGTTTACGTGTATTATTTCAAATGATTTGCTGACAGTGAGAGGGAAGAAATTTGCAGTCTCTGCTAAAGGAGAGATTAAGTATCATAAAGTCTGTTTATTCAGAACAGGACTGCATATGATGCTAATGTCCTTCTGTCGGCGCCAGGATGCGTGCGTCTTTTGGTTATTAAAGCTGTTATGCAGTAATGAACAGATACTACATAAATTGAAGATGCAATTTTTGTCAATTTAAAAGGAATTAAATGCATTCTGCATATAGGCTATAGCCGCCATAGCCACTAGTTTTAAGTGAAAAGAATCACGACATGGGCATCTTGCTCTGACACGGTGACTTGTAGCAGAGGTTTACTTGGTGAATACCTTGAGGACAGCCGAGGAGGTTCCTTGCGCTGTGGTGTAAATATTTTCCAGTAAGGGAGGTAGGTGAAGGCCTCTCAAACAGCCAAGCATCTGACACAAGTGTATAGCTCTTGTGCGATACCTCTGCTGTGCAGGTGTTAGTGTGGAATTGCAAGAATCTAAAAAATGACCAACTTCACTAAACGAACTGGAATTGAATATGCCAGCAGATCTCACTGTTAAAAGATGCTTTGTAGTCACATCTTATGTAGGTCACCAATGGATTAGTAGAGTGGGAATAATTTGTTAGTGTTTTGTATGCAATTGCTGATTTGAAATGCCAATTAAGGCTTAAGAATATAGCCAGAGAGAGCTTAATTTGAATGGTGTTTGAAGAATTTGATGTTTTGTTTTCATGCCTCTGTTAGGGCAATGTGTGTGATAGTTACACGAAGGAAAATGTGCAGAATATTTGATGTTGAGCCAGCTGTGCTTTCCTTGCACTGAGCTGAACTGAGGAAACTCAGTCCTGTTGACCTGCTTTTCTTTCTAGCAATTTGCTGGCTATCTTGGGGAAATTGATAGGCAAAACTAACCCATTCGGTTTGCTGCATTGGGCCAATTTTTGTCTCATTACTTAGCTGAAGCAGAAAACTTCAAACTTCTACTGCAAATATATTAAATATGTATTCTTAAGGGAGATTATGATGAAATGTTGATTTCCAAAACCTTTTTAACTATTGATCACATCAGTGTAAATGACCGCATTCCATTGTGTTTTTAAAACATAGATTTGTGTTGACAATAGCTTTTAGAAACAAGAAGTGATTCTTGCTCCCGTGCCGAAGCAAGTCATCAGCAACCCTTTTCCCCATCCCTTAAACCTGTGAGCACGAATGAAGTGAGAGAGTTTGTAACTGGTGTGGGAAGAAGAGGTTTTAGAAAATGGGAGTATGGGAAAGGAATGTGCTCACGTGACTGAGTGCTCAGGCTAGGGATTATGTCACTTATACGAGGTGTTCTGACCATGAAGAAATTGGATTATAGAAGTGATCCCTGCAGTTGGAAAAGGTCTGCAATGGCAGAAGTAACAGCAGTGGGACATCAGCAGCAGCATTCAGAGTGATGGGCATGGAAACCACTGTCTGTCTTTCATGTCATAAGCATGGTTGGGAAAGTTTGGGATCCGGGTATCTGAAACATACCTTTATTTCTTCATCACATTGACTAGTGTGTTACGTGAACCAGTCCGTAACACGCTGGGGATTGTGTATGCCTTCTGGAAAACATATGCCCCTGTGCTGGTTTTAGCTGGGACAGAGTTAATTGTCACAGTAGCTAACAGTGGAGGGGATGTTTTGGATTTGTGCTGAGAAGAGTATTTATAGCACTGGTGTTTTGAGTTGTTGCTAAGGAGAATTTGTACCAGGTCAAGGACTTCTTCATTTTCTAATATTGCCCCTGCATTCCCACCTTCTTCACTCTGAGCAGTAGGGAGGGGACACTGTCCGGACAGCTGACCCAAACTGACCAAAGGGGTATATCATTCCATAAAGCATCATGCTCAGTATATAAGTTGGGATGGGACGTGTTGGTTGGTCAGTTTTCTCATTCGTGCTCTCGCTTGTGGGGGTTTTCTCTGACGCTGGTGTGATCTCCCTTGGGCATTTGGGCTCTGGCTCTTGACTGCTCGGGGCCTGGCTGGGCATTGGTTGGTGGGTCAGGAGCGGTTGTGTAATTTGTTTAATTTTCAGTTATTTTCATTCCATATTAGTAGTAGTAGTGGTAGTGTTATTTAGAAGTAACTACGTTGGCCCAGGAATGATGCTTTCATGCAATAACCTTCTATGTCATCACTGTGAATAATTAAGTTGAAATGAAATTTGATTTTGGTAGCCTGTTTATGAATTTGCTGTGATGTGGGTGAGCACATGGATAACTCATGACGTCGGAGGATGAGACTCTGGCCGTGTTCAGTTCGGTGTCTGAACTCTGAGTTCAGCTGTGGCACAGTTGCATCCCTAATTTTTGTCAGAGGTCCTGGAAGAGCCCCATCATGCCATATCCACTTTGCTTTACCAGTTCACAGACCATCTGTTTTTTATTGGTGAAGTGTTGTTCCATAAAATCTCGCAAAACCTGAGTGCAGCGCTGGCACGGGAACTAAATGAGGTTGTTGTCCTGATGATGTGGTTTGCTTCTGCTCTGAGCAGTAACACTCTGCTGAATGCGTTGTAAACCTAAATAAAAAATCTAATGCCATCTGCCTTGCATTTGCCAGTCATAGCTAGAAAAGCTCAAGCTAATAGAAAGGATTTTACTTTGCCTTTTCCTTCAAGTTACTTAAAGTTTATCAGTGGAAATATTTTTCCTTTTTCCTAGAAGAAAAAGGAAACACCAACCAAATCTGTATTTAATAGACTGTTTTGTATAATATGCAGAAGCTATAGAAAAGGAAGCGATGTATGGTTATTAAAAATTCTTGATACACTGCATAAGGTTTACCACAAGAGAGATCAAAGTTTATCTTTGGAAGTATAAACTTTCACTTGTGGTATAAATTTGGTTGTGGGGTGGCAGTAGTATTGGAGAGAGTTTTGGGGCAAGAAACCAACATGACTTAAATACGCTGTATGCCATTAAGTATCTCATTACTTCAGCCTCACTTAAAAACATAGATATTTTGTGGTGAAATATGATATAAGAACATCCACAGTTGTAATTTTTTTGTGTAACAGAATATAGGTTTTAAAATATTTTGAGATTTTATAGAAGTCTCCAGAAATGAGTTTGTAAAAACAGATTTCTAAATTCAGAATTTTGCATTTATAAGAAACTTGATAGCGCAGTGTGCCGCCTTGGAAGAAATTGAGAGAGGATTTCTGGAGTTCATTAAAAAAAAAAAAATCTATCAATAGTTCTTACTCTTTAAAATAATCTAATGAAATGGAAACAAAATTACATTAATTATTTCCTCTGTGTGTAGCTTTGTTAGTGTGTCATTTCTGTGAAAGCCTCTTGCCTCTGCACATGTGATTTTGCGGACTCTCAGCACTCATTTTTGAACATATTTGTCAGTTTTAGGTAATTATGACAAGAGGACAGAAGATCAGTACCTACAGATTAAATGCAGAACCGAGCGGTTGGGTGGAGGGATGAGATACGAATCCACTAATTGCATTAGGGGGATCTTGTGCCCTTAGTTCAGTTGTATTTTTGGACACCAGAAATCCTCTTGCTGCTCCATGCAGTGTGTGTTGCTCAGGGAACTAATTATGCCCATTGAAATAACTCTCACATTAGGGACATGATGGTTTAAAAATCCCACCCAAACAGCACGCAGAAACAAAAAAATAAGGGGAAAAAAACCCACCCACTGCCAAAAAAAGCCAGTACTGGGAGAGGAGAGGCACCACTGGGAGAGGTGTTTGAGTAGTGTTGTATCCAGCTTAGTTACTACTCCTGTTGGATTTTCCTCTCTGCTTCCAAGGCTGCTTTGTAGGGTGAATTTTTGCTGATTTCCATTCATGAGTTAACGTTTATTTAATCCAGAGTGCATCCCTGTCACTTAAGCAACAGGGAAGGAAGTGTTGTGTGATAATACCTTAAAGTAAAGTCCGATTTATACGTGATGCATATTCTGCTTCAAACGGTACATTTCCCATTAAAAACGTGGAATAGAAGGCAGTTGGTAATTGAAGCTCGGTGTTTGTATTGTGTCTGAGTATTGCTTCCATTAGAGATGGGACCACCTTTCTACGGTACTAGTTGAAAGAGATGTTAGCACACTCTGATAGAAGCGCGAAGCGTAGCTTTATCCTCTTCAGAGGCCTGTCCAAACAGAATTAAGCACTACACTGCTTTACAAAACTCATCGCCGCAGTCCTGCCGGAGAAGCAGACCACCCGCATCTGGGTAATAGGAAACACATTTGACTCCTGCTTGAGTGTGTAACGCGTGTCGGCTCGAGCTGTGTGTGAGTGTGTGTGTATATATATTCATGCACATAACCCAAACACGGTGCAGGTTGGGTCGGTTTAAGCAACTTGTAACTTGTCATGTGAAATCCGCGGCTCGCGGTAGGGCGCTACTGTTTCAGCTTCTCATTTGCTTTTAATGAGGATTTTGATTTTCATAGCAGTGCAGGATAAACATCAAATACTCCACGCTTCTGTCTGTCTTCAGCACTACCGTGCTTTTAAATACTGGAGGTAGGGTGGTAAGTTGCTTCTCTTGGAACTGTTAGCTCTGAAGTTTCTCGCAGTGGATCTGGTTTATGA